TCCTGACTTTTATTTACCACCACGACGTGCCATACACGTGAAGAAAACGAAGTAGGAGTAGCCTAAGTCTGCTTCCATGTAAGCTATTTCCCGCACAAGCTACCTCTACCTGGCGACCAGGGAGCCCACCAGGTAGTGGATGGGATTGCGGGTAGGAACGCTTCACTCCAGAGTCGGCTACCGGTTCCGATGCGATGAACCGCAGTGCGGCGCACATTTTAAGGACACATGTTAGACATTCGAAAGCCATCGCACGACAGTTCTAAAGGGGCTGTGTGAGATGCAAGGTGTTTCTTCAGGCGGGAGAACCTCCCTCTCTCTCTTTCAGGACTGCCAGAGCCAAGTCCGCTGAATGGCAGCAGTGAAATGATCTCATTTAGGTGGCTGTGTGGAGTGAAAACCCCCTAATCAGAGTATCCCACAAAAAATTATATAGTACTTTGTTGGATGAATGTGCCATCCCTTCCATGTCTCACCATAACTAGCGACAGGAAGACGTACCGCTAAGGACAGACGGACAAACAGTCAGGTCCAAAAGAACCATCTAACTTATCCTTTCGTTCTAAATGTATTCAGAAACTGACTGACCTTTTTATGTCTTTCAGAACGCCACCCATGGTATATACAAAGCCGGAAGCAGTAGAAACAGAGGCAATGTTGAGATCACACAGAGTCTTAAGTGATACAATACGATTCGAGGTACGGTGCAATTCCAATGTTATGGAAAAATCTAAAAAAATTAGGGTTGGACATCCATATCCGGAGGAGGATGAGGCGGTTTTGGGGGAGGCAGTAACAATTGTGGGGATCATTCCGGTCAGTTAGATACGAACGCAAACACACTTAAAAACAATAATCCCTATAAAAATCCGTAAAAAAGGACGTGAATTGGGTGACGGGGGGGCACATATCCCTGAGGTAGAAACAATGTGGCAGTACGTAGATCCACGCTATTGCGAGTCCGCATACACAAAGGAATTCTAAATCTTTCGGCCAACGAGGAGAGAGCTTTTCGCAGGCCACCCTACACATTGTACGTCCGTCGGACAGTGGAATTGGGTGGATGAGGAGGATTACTGGTCTCGTCGTCACGGTCGGCGGCTTGTCGGTGAATGATTGCTGTCTTCCGAGCTGCCTCCTTTTCGTCCCCTTCTACGTACTTCCCACCATCACCATCGACCGCAGCTCCCTTTTGGGGACGCTGAAATTCAGTGTTGGTGTTTGGATACAGTGGTGGCGGCATATCCGCGCCATAGTCCGTAAAATCGGTCGGATAGGGTAGTCGTGCGCTCTTCGTATCTGGCAGCACAGGTGCTGATGGCAGTGGTCGATGCTTCGAGGTCACAACCTGACCGCCAGGTTGGAGCGTAAGGCTCATAAAGTCACCATCTGGTGAGACCATATTACCCTCGCTGTGCGAGGGGGGCATCAGGTGGGGGGGATTTTGATGGTAATGGGGATAGCCCGACACCTGACTACCCGTTGCCTTCAGCACGAACAGCTCGCCGTAATCGTTGCTTTTTGGTTTGCGTTCTCCAATGCGGAAATCCTTGCCGTAGTACTGCTTCTTATAGTCGCCGAACAGACAGCAAACAATTTCCACCGTGATAAGATCACCGGCATTCATAGAGAGCATACGCAGCAGAAAGTGTCCATCCTGACGCAGGAACTCGTTTATGAAACGGTTAATCAGATCACGCATCTTCTCATCATCGCGGTTGTAGACATCTGCCATCTTGAGAAACCGCCGCACGAAGTGGCGCTGGCGTCTTGCCGCGATACGTACCAACCAGAGGGGCACGCTGAAGATAGTCATGAGCAGTACGGACGAAAGAAAAAAGTAGAGGAAGACGTAAATCTTCTCGTTTAGCATGTTGATTGGAAGGACACACTGGGCGAAGAGCTTGTTGCTGGCAGCCACGTGTTGTAGGGTGTGACGGCACATGCCCACACGGGGAAATACCTGCGTCTCAGTCCAGGGCTTGCCGCGAGTAATGTCCGCGAGAATACGAATGCCGAAAAAGAAGTAGCCTTCACGATTGTCGAAACGCAGGAAAACATACATGAGGTAAAGCTGGCAGCAGCCCACAAGCACATAGAGAAGTTTGATGCCGAGGTAGTAATAGATGAGGTTGTTGCCGTGTCGTTTTCCCGGCAGCAGAGCCAGCATACGCTCGGTCCGAGCACCGCGGTTATGGTATTCGCGACGACTGAAGAGCATTAGCTCGAGACTTTTGGCCAGATGGCGCACGGTCTTCTCCCGTTTCTCCCCCTCGTCCTTGGAGGCAGAATTGGCCGAACGGATGACATTTTGCAAGTCCATGCCTGTCCGGTTGTAGGTGAAAATGCTCCAGATTATTCTTGGCAAGTAGTACAGGATGGCCTGAAGACCAAGAACCAAGGGTACCCATTGGTAGTAATCTGAAAGTGGAAAGAAGAAGGGATAGAGGTTACAAGCCCTTGGTGTGAAGACAAAGGATACAAGAGTTTTAGATCAGGTCGTTTGGCCAAACATTATGGTGACAAAGCACTACGACTTTTATGCAGTAAGCGCATACGAAACAAACCTTTAGGGCGAAAGTACTTACTTCGAGTCATTAGTTCGCTTATCTCTATCGAGCGACATCTGTTAAGGAAATTACCAAGAAGTTTAGATTTACTCGCAGAAAGAAAACTTAAGCTAACAATCAAATATTCCGAGAATCAGTAAGTGCATTGATATATGCGGCTGTTGTGAAGTCTGTCTTTGACTTTAGAAGCATAGTCAAGTTATCTCCAGTGCTATGAATTGCCAAAATCCAAGTAAGCAGAACTCGGGCAGACTAAGCCACCTTTTCCAACCGGTGTCTTTGCTACTCCCAATTTCTCCACTTCGAAGATGATAATCAATGCATCCTGTTCCACAATTGTTGAAGTGATTTGCACCGTTTGTTGGCTGTTTTGAAAATGACTAGAACTTAATGTTTGGGACCTATCCGGAGAAGACAAATAATTGGCAAAATTCTCCAAACCCCCTAACAAAAAACAGTTCAACGATTTGAAGAGTACAGCTGTTGAACAGTTACTAGGATACCAAGTCGCTTGGAAAATAGCTCGAGACCGGTTTCTGGCACGTTCTTTTTGACTTCTGACTAGGAAGGGATTAAATGGAGCCGACAAAAGACAGTGTTTCTACCCATTCCTGGAATAGCACCAGGCAAAGTTACACGACGAGTCAATTGTATATCAGGCGTGAAGACTGTGGCAGTCTCAAATTTTTTATTCTTTGCTCATCCGAGTTTAAAGTTGTCACTGGTGGCGATACTCACGTGCCTTAAATTGCACAAAAGCCTTCTAAAGGTGTGGCCCAACTAAGACGTAAAGGAGAGTATAAGCGTAATTTCAGTGCCTTGCTAACAAGACATTGAAGTCCTGTCGTGAAGATAGCGTTACCTACAGGAACCCTAGCTTTCGACCCTGGTTTACAACGGAAGTTACGTATTCCAGTCGCCGGAAACACCGCCCTCCTGAGAGACCATGGGTAAATTCACGGTCTAATGGCAAGATTAGTTCGGTAAAAATTGTCCTCCCAATTCTTCAGTCAAATTTCATAATGTCACGCACGGCCGGTACCTCGTTATATTTACCGCCTAGCCCTTCTTGCCGACCTGCTTAACCTATACAGGGATTGAGAAAGAAGGGAATCCGATTCCATAAGCTGTTATGCTAATAATTGCAATTTTCATGAGACACGAGCCTCGTCTTGAGAGCCCTAGACTCTCTTGTCCTTGCTGGCTATACTATGTACCTGGACTACTAGCCACTGTGCGACGGCTGTCAGGTCCTGAGAAATTAGGTCTGAAGCAGAGCGGGACGAGTGAGTTCCCTTAGCGACTTGTGAGCGTTCATCGAGTGTCAATAGTTCCCGATCTAAACCGGCAAGACAATGAGCTCGTAGCTCAATGCTTAGAACCTTAGGTTTCTGATCAAAAGATCGCGAGTTCAAACCTCGGGTGATGCACTTGGGGTTGAGTATGACTGGCTGATGACGGCTAATAAACCAACCAACGAGTCCGAAATGGCTATTCTAGTCTCTCTTGTCTTTGCCGGCAATACTGTCTACCTAGACTACCAGCCGCTGTGTGGCTCCTGTCAGGGCCCGAGAATGAGACCAAAGGCAGAGCGGGACGAATAAGTTCTGTTAACAATCGGTGAACGTTGATCAACAATTGTCAACACCATCTTCCATGAAATCTGCACGCTCGCAAGCACTGCTACACTATATTTTTTGTCAAACTATACGCCATAGCGTTTCACTGTTGTGGTAATAAGTATTGAAAATTGCCATTCGTTTGAGTTCCTCCTATCTAAAGCTTCCAAATGTCCTTCAAGACGTCGAGTGACCCCTGTCGCTTAAGAATCACTATTTAATTGTTTTTGTTCGGTTTCCTGAAGGAATCGCATCCAAAAGAGTTAAGGACAAATCAGTCAACGCAAGGGTTAACGCTGTTGCGTCAGTCCTGAATGGGGCCAAATACGATTGTAGTACGTGGGAAACGACGCTCCCCGCCCCCTTCCCCCTGGTGTACAGCCGACTCGAACCTCTCACAGGTATATGCAGAAAAAAACGGAAACCATTTGCGGCCAACCTACTTTCACTTTAATACAGTTGCCGTGCCTTTGAATTATCAAGACGCGCTAAATGTGGCGGGCAAGAAAGGCTGTCAACTAGCGAAATAAACGGGCTTTTCCGACGGCTAGTAAGGTTAAAAAATTAGTCCTTATAGTGCAGCCCTATGTTGACTCTCGTTAATGGGAGATTCGGATTAGTAAGGCCGCGTGCATGCGTGGCACGCGTGAGCAGGACTTTATCAGGTCAGTCGCTGAACAGGTCCGTTTACAATAATTGTGACCTTACTTTTGGTCCGGAGTGCGAGGCTGATGCTACACCCACACACCCGCCTTACTATAATCCGAATGCCAACGAGATCGCCTGCAGGTCACCGCTGCCTCGATCGACAGATGTGCTTCTCTTTCAGGTAGACGGACAAACGAGCGCACTTTGTTCCTCGTGAATAAAGCACCCAAGCTTTTTTCCGAAGTAATAACGCTCTCCGAAATTTGCATTCTATTCAAACACATTTCTGTCTGACGCCCGACCTGCTACTGTGAAAACAAAGGAAGGATGAAATTGACCATCTAGCCCATTAGCCAAGCTCATTCCTTAGCAGGATAATCTTTCTGTGGGGGAAATGTCTCGTAAAGTTATAAGATGTAACCCATTTAAATGCCTTCAGACAGTAGTGATTAGGTCGTGTTCTTCGAAGTATTCGTCTCCTGTGAACGACTGCACAGGCAGAATCGACTTTCCAATGTTTAGCCATATCGCACCTGTTTCCAACTACCAAGTTCAGCGTCATAGACCAGCATTACCGATTGCAATGGTTTGGACATGTCCTGCGCAAGCCATCAACGGACCTCTGCAGAAGGGTCCTAGATCCCTCTCTTAGGTCAAACTTGAAATACCGACATGGCGGTCAAATGAAGACTGCCAAGTCTGACGTTGAACGCATGGGTCTCGTAACCGTCCACAGTTTGCGACACTGGAACAAGCATTGAGTTGACATTTGCGAGGAGTTGGCTTCGGACAGCCGCCAATGGGCCGCCGCTATCCTTGAAGCCGATTCATCCAACAACAGGAGCTAATCGAATCAAGTACGAGTACTGCACAATAGCTTACGAATTAAACCGGTGACTAAAGGCCTCTTCCTACTCTTTCTACATGCTGTGCCGACATGAAAATGGACTCGTACAGCTGTCATTTCATGCGAGTACGATCCAGGTAGCGATGGTATCGAAGTTACCAACTGAAAACGTAGTGAGAGCTGACTTCAACTACGTCTCTGGTCCAGGGGTTTTCGGTCGGCGGAGCCCGCCACGGGCGAGCATTCATGGTGTGTGGAGGCTGCAGGATGGAGCTGGATGAACCAACTATGACAAATGTCGTTGCATGTGCCAGTACGTGGGTATGATTGGGAGAAGTGCACCGCCTC